AAAAAAAAAAAAATGTGGTGAACCGTTGACGTTTGATTTTTTATTTTATTTTATTTTTTTATGTTATTTTATTTTTTTCAGTAATTATTTCGGCCTGATCACATCTCACAGGGTTGTCCGTTATGGATCCAATTGGCATGACAGTCCGTTGATACCTCTGGCTCCGACTCTCTCTCTATATATCCCCTTCCCTTCCCTCTGACTCTGAATCATTATTATTTTATTCCCATTAACGATCCTCTCTCTCTTCTTCCCTCTTGAGATTTGCTGGCATTTTATCTTATTTCCTGCAGTTCCCTTGCATACTTTTTCATTATCCTCCCTCTACTAAGTACTCCTACTACTTCTACTACACCTACTACACCTACTACTACTCCGTACTTCCTCCCCCTTCCTTACTCTCTTCTTTTTATCTTCCCATTCCTCTCTTCATTCTTCTACTATATCCGGTGACTACTTGAGTCTGTCAATTGCGACTTTTACTACCGGTTGCGGATCAATTCGACTTGCTCTCCTACCACTACCACATACACTTCGGTGATACAACAACCACCCTTCGAAAAACCGAACAGAAAAGAAAAAATCACCAAGGGAGGATATGCTGAAACCCCTTTAACGGTCAACATCCTCTTCTTCATCATAATTCGGTCCTTTCCCTCCCTTCTGCAACAACGGAGAATTTGGCGAACCCTGAAATTACATTCCTTTGCGAAAAACCCTGGACTCGTCCTTTGACAGGATAGAAGTCATTCCTTTTCTCCTCTTTCTAACCCCGGATTTTCACTCCTTCGTCTAAAATCCATAAAATTTACACACTCGACAAGATGTTCAAGAAGCCTTCGTGTTTAAAAAACCGGCGACAGGCTGGTGAGAAGGGCAGCGCCGGCAACAGCAAAGATGATTGGTCGACCTTCCCAGTGCGCCAGCTTTTCGTACTAGGTATGTTCACTGATCAGCCTTATACTATACTCGCATGTTTACTGACCAAACAGCGCTCTGTCGCATCTGCGAACCAATCGCTTTCATGTCCATCTTCCCTTATGTCTATCACATGGTCGAGTCGTTCCACGTGACAGATAATGATCGCAAAATCGCCCTCTATGCCGGCATGATTACTTCGTCCTTCACTTTCGCGGAGTTCTCTGCTGGTATGTTTTGGGGCCGGATGAGCGACAAGATTGGTCGCAAGCCCGTCCTGATCATGGGTCTGATTGGCACGGCCATCAGTATGATCGTCTTTGGTTTCGCTCCCAACCTAGCTACCGCCATGATTGCGCGCGCGCTGGGCGGTCTGTTGAACGGCAACATCGGTGTCCTGCAGACGACGGTAGCGGAAATTGTCACGGTCAAGGAGCATCAACCCCGGGCCTATTCCATCATGCCATTCGTCTGGTGCTTGGGATCTATCGTTGGCCCCGCGATGGGCGGTGCGTTGGCACAGCCATGCGTGAGTTACCCGTGGTTGTTCCAGCGCGGTACCATTTTCGACCAATTTCCGTTCCTGCTGCCCAACATCGTCTGCGTTGTCGTCCTTGTCTTTGGAATCGTCGTCGGTTTTCTCTTCTTGGAGGAGACCCATCCTGAGAAGAAACTCCGGCGGGACCTTGGTCTCCAGCTTGGGCATTGGCTCGTTGGCAAATTCTGGGGCTCGGGCGTGCAGCTATCAGAGGAAGAGAATATCTCCGACAACGAGGACTACTTTGACGTGCCCCCACCGGAGTACAGAAGCAACGAATCCACTCCCCGCTTGGGCCCTGTCATGTCCAACAATGACGACATTGAGGGACAACTCAAGAAGGAGGAGACACCCAAGGCATTCACCAAGCAGGTCGTTTTCAACATCATCGCCTACGGAATTCTTGCATAGTAAGTGTTCACCCTTTGGTACCCAACTGTTTCGAACTGGTTCGCTAACAACTCCAACAGCCACAGTGTTTCGTTCGACCAACTGATGCCCGTCTTCCTCAGCACACCCAAATCCGACGATAATGTTGCCCTCCCCTTCCAGTTCACCGGCGGCTTGGGTCTCCAGACCAAGACCATCGGTTTCATGCTCGCTGTCCAGGGAGTGTATTCCATGATCGCCCAGCTTTGGCTCTTCCCCTTTGTCGTGCGAAACTTTGGCACCCTCCGAACCTTCCGCTTCGTCCTCTGCGTCTGGCCTCCTCTCTACCTGATTGTGCCTTATCTCATCCTTCTCCCCGCAAAGCTTCAGATGGCCGCAGCCTATGTTGCATTGATCAGCAAGATCACCTTCCATGTCATGGCCTTCCCCGCAACTGCCATTCTCCTCGCCAATGCTGCTCCCTCTTCCAAGGTGCTCGGTTCCATCAACGGTGTGGCCGCGTCCACCGCCAGTCTGAGCCGTGCTTTCGGACCTACAGTCACTGGTTTCCTCCACTCCAAGGGTCTCGAGAGCCACTATTCCGTGCTCGCCTGGTGGGCTTGTGGCATCGTCTGTGTGATCGGTGCCATCCAGAGTTTCTGGATGGAAGAGACCGACCCCAAGGAAAGCACCCCGCAGCCCGAGGAGAAGGTCGGACACCACGACTCCAAGACTCAATTCCAAAACTCGTTCTTTCACGCTGGCAAGGAAGACGCTAAACCGGAGGAGGAACAGAGACTCCTCTCTCCTACCCGCACCAGCCTCGATGATTTCGATCTTGCCAACATGAACATGAAGCTGGATGTTCCTGAGCCACCACGCTCAGTGGAAGCTTAACTTTCGTTTCTTTTCTCTTTATTTCATTTTGCATTTTTCACTATCTCATATCTACATTTGGAGGCATTTTTGCGTTTTGATCATAGCCAGTTTTGCATATTCCTCGGTCGGTTTTTTTTTTTTTTTTTTTTTTTTTTTTTTTTTTTTTTTTTTTTTTGTTTTGTTTTGTTTTTGTTCGTTCGTTTAGACCATGATGATTTTTTTTCCAAGCTTGGGTGGCGCAGTTTATAGACTGGATGCATTATTCACAAAAAGCATGAAGCTTGCTCATTTCTCTCGTTTTCTTTTTTATTTACAGGCATTTTGTTGGGTTGGACATTTTCTGCGATGATACTCATGCATCTGGGAGGCTTTTTTGTCATTACATATTACCCATCTCTTTTTTTATTTATCTGGACAACAAGTCTTTACTTTGCATGCAATGGGATATGAGGGGAAGATTCTCCTGATTTGGTTCTACTTGATTTCTATGCGTAAACAATTGTAAACATCCAAGTACGTACCCCACGTGACACATGCGGGGTATGTGATACAGTACAGTCCTTTGAACTCTTCTTGTGTACTTGCACATACGCAGTCAAGAAGATGCAATCCATGCTCCCATCAGGCGATCAACACTACATTCTCAACTCCGTACTCTAGCTCATATATAGCGAAGAACCCTTAGTGTTCCAATCCGGAGTTGAAAGCCTCGGTTACAGGCTGTACCTGACAGTTCTTATCGGCCCAATCGGAACCGCCGTTATCCGCCTGTCAAACGGGTTATCGGGTATGATACTGTAATTAATACAGGCATCAGTACATCCCACTTGGCTACAGGAGCAGAAGTTCCCTGCGTTCAATTGACCATGCCTGCGCTGCTTCGCACTTGCTGACTGACTTCTTGCCAATCGAGGAGTTTTGATGGATATTGAACGAGGTATGGTTTGTCCCCTAAATCTGAAAATTGACAGCCTTATCATAACTAATCGTGATTGATTGATAGTGACCGATACGGGCTTGTCAGTGTCAGAGCACGTACACTAAGCTTTTTCGACAAAAGGAATATCCCCGAATATTCCGGTTCGCCTGTGCTTCAAGTCGATGCTTTCTTCTTCTCCTTCTTCCTCCTCTCCTCTGCCTTCCTCAGATCCCACGTTGTGCCCGTCAGCCCGACAGGCATTCGCTGAATTGTCCGGTGACTTTGTGCTTTCCGATAATACTATGCCCTGCGACTCGACGAATCGAATACAAGTACAAGGACACCAGGTTGCATTATTATTTGCTCTTTGATTACCGATACCGATACAAGGAATACCGCTAGCTAGCCTGGATGCTGGGATGAATGGTGACTGCATGTCTTTGCTTGCGCAACTGTCGACTCGCAAGACATGATCCTGGTTTAGCACTGATTGAACGAACACGAACGCCGTATAATCCGTGATGCTCAACGCCACTTCACCAGTCACGCCAATGCCGGTGGGGAGGAAACGATCGCATATTCTCGCTGCTGAGATGGACTCAACCCCAGTCCCAGTCCAGAACCGTGTCACAACATCCCAGAATCCTCGCCGACAGTCCTCGCCGGATGGGCCTGCGCCTGCGCCGTCAGCATCGGCACATACCAGTTCTTCTGCGTTCCGTAACGTTTCCGCCTGTCATCGATGTCGAATCCGCAAGAACCGCTGCGATCAGCGTCTTCCTCGTTGTCAGTCGTGTGAGAAGGCTGGGGTGCCCTGTGTGGGATATGATCCGATTACGAAGCGTGAGATCCCACGAAGCTATGTGTACTTTCTCGAGGCGCGTGTGGAGTATCTGGAGAGGGTGTTGAGGGAGAGGGGTGTGGAGTACATGGATGCGGTGGCTTTTGGGGAGGAGATGGCTGTTCATGCGGAGGATGAAGGCGAAGCGCATGGTGGGGATATTCTGCGTGGGGGAGATGTCTCGCCGGAGGACAAGGGCAGATTGATGTTGAAACATCAAGAAAATCGGGAAGATGGGAGGGCAGATGCTGACAGAAGTCGGGACGACGACAAAGATGATCATTGGAAGATACATAACCTAGTATCTAACATCGGGATGGTCTCAGTGCAAGGGACATCTGATCCACGATATCTCGGGTCTACATCTGGTATATCCTTCGCTCGGGTGGTTTTTGCTGCGGTCAAATCCTCCGTCTCGGGGAATGCGTCAGAGCGTGGCCCTATGCGCCCAAGTGAGCGTCTCCCCCATAGTGCCACTGGCACAGGCACGAGTACCATGCGAGACTCTTTCTTTGGATTACAGACAAGGCCGATGATGAAGTGCGCGACATTTCCGCAGCGTGAGCTGGCAGAGAAGTTGGTCGATTTATACTTTGAGCACGCAAATCCGCAAATGCCCATCCTCCATAGGGCTGATTTTATGGAACTTCTGGACCGCACGTACGCGGTCGATGAGAAGAGTCGTTCTCCCCGAAGTTTATATACTCTTAATATTGTGTTTGCTATCGGCGCGGGGATAATATTCGAAGATAAAAGTGTCCCGGAAGATGACGAGCAAGGAAGTGGCAGACCACGGGCGTCATCTACGCCAAAGAGACAAAAGCTGCCAGACCACCAATGTCAACCAGAAGAATATCATGCGTCGGCAGTTGTGCACCTGGAATCTTTCCTGGATAGTTCCGCGACAAACGACGGTTTCGGTGGGTTGGAAGAACTGCAGGCCGTGCTTCTCCTGGCTAGCTTTGCCCTACTTCGTCCCGTCGCTCCGGGTCTTTGGTATATTGTCGGAGTGGCTATGAGACTGGCTGTTGACCTGGGTCTACACTACGAAGATGGCACCGGAGTTGACTACGTCGGACAAGAAGGCGTTGACCGTCCGCCAGTCAAGGGTGAGGACGGAGCCAAGTTGCGTATCAATACCCGCGAGCGTGGACGTCGCGAATGGGTGCGCGATCTACGACGTCGACTCTGGTGGTGCGTGTATAGCTTTGACAGACTTGTTGGCTGTTGTGTTGGCCGTCCGTTTGGAATCAGCGACCAGGCTATCAGCACCGAGTTCCCGTCCTTGTTGGAGGACAAGTACATTACCAAGTCAGGGATTGTGACGCCTCCTGAAGGAGCACCGAGTTATAAACATGCAGCACAGCATTACTTTAAGCTGCGCGTTCTGCAATCAGAAATTCAAGACGTCCTCCAGTACCAACAAGCGCGCTTCGCCCGACAACGACTTCCGCATTCTGCCAACGTTTTCACCCGTTCTGACCTACCATCCCCGTTCCTCCAGGGCTTCGACTCCCTCCGCTCATGGCGAATAGACATGAATCACCGACTCGTCGAGTGGAAGGAGACTGCTCCTAAACACCAGGAGATGGGGGTAAGATTCCCCGTTGAGTTCCTGGAGTTGAACTACTGGCAAGCCGTGATTATGCTGTATCAGCAGTGCTTGACAGCTCCTGCTGAGTTAGCTGGAGAGCTTATACCGGCAGAGGATGTCTCGAGTCCGTCGTTTTCGAATATCGATGATGCGGAGAATGAAGATGAGATTTATTACAAGGTTGCTGAGGCTGGCCAGAAGGTTATTAGGATTTATCGATCGATGCATCGGCTGAGACTTGTGAATTATACGTATTTGGCTACGCATCATATTTTCATGGCTGGTATGTTACTCCTAGCCCTGCTCATGTCGTGTCCGTTGCTTACGCTTATTGTACAGGGATATCGTTTTTGTATGCGATCTGGCACTCGCCGTGGGTTCGAAGTCGCTTGGTAAGTTACATTTCTATCTTACCTGAACTGCTGCTAATTGTGTAGACCCTCGATGAGGTAGATTTTACCGTCCTTGCAGCTACATCGGTTTTAGGCGACCTGATGCACAAGTGTCCACCTGCAGAAGCATGTCGGGACGCATTCGAACGAATGAGCAAAGCCACGGTGCAAATGTCTCTATCGACTACCAGATTTGGACCCCAGGTCGACCTATCCCGGCATTCTCGAGCCAACGCACCACAGCCCGTTGGTGGTTTGTATCGTGGACCACGGTATTCGCGACGATATCATCCTATGGGCCAGCGGCAGAGAGTACCGGGATCACGAAGGCAGACGCAAACACAGGCGCAGGCGCGCCAACGACCAATACCTCGATTCGATATGAACATGGAAGACTTGTTTGGTGGTGATATCAGCACCGTCGCTCAGGAGCGGTCTGATCGTAACACAAGGAACTCGATGCAGCCTCATTCGACTCGAGCGCGAGGATACTCTGAATTGTCACCGGCAGGTGTGGTGCCAGAACAAACATCGCGAGTACCAGCGCCTCACCAACGAGCGGCGTCTATGGAATATACTGGTAACTACGAGGATTATCCTTTTTCACCTCAGCAGCCGCCGCCGCCGCAGCAGCAGTATTACACCAACTCATTACAACAGGGCACGTCCCCTGACCGCATGACCACGAATAACCCCAATCAGAAGCCACTGCTCACCCCAGACCAGGATGCAGGAATGAGCATGGATCTCTTGGATTTTGATCCCGACAGTCAGTTGGCCCTGGGGCTTGACGGTAACCCAGATTATGATGCGACCATGCCGTCCCTGGGGCCCGGTGTCGGACATAGTGTAGGGATTGATCTGGGCTTCGGAATGGCAGTTGACTTTCAGCATGATTGGAGCGAGAATGCGAATTATGATATGCTGGAGGGGTTCTTTTTTGGGGGGTCTGGATCTGGCGGTGCTGGGGCAGGGCCTACCACAGGGACAGATGGATAGGGCCGTCATACTCCAGAATTTTCTTTTCAGTCACATGTATTTATTCAAGGCTGTTGGTTGGTCATGCGAGAAATGATGTTAAAATAAAAGATATGATCTCATGGACCCTTTGCGTGTACCCATTGTGTATCATAGCTGCAGAAATAACCAGGTACCTATGTATACCCAACCAACCTAACCAACTCTATATACCAACAAGTACACCCAAGTACTACCCCCTGCTAGTTAAAACGAGGCCAACGCATTGGGCAGCAACCGGCCATAATTCGACCGCCGAGTCTGGAAGTGGAGGGTGTAAAGTGGAGGAGGAGGAGGAGGAGGAGGAGGAGGAGGAGGAGGAGGAGAGGGGGAAAGAAAGCAAAGCAAAACAAACCAAACAAGCCCAAATTCTTTCTGACCAGCAACGAAACAACAACAAAACAACAACCAACCAATACAGCCTTCCAACTGGTTCTAGACAACGCACACTTAACACTTAACTTATTGTGTTCGCGCTTTTTGCGAACCGTCTTTCTTTTCTTTTGGAGGTGTGAGTTGTTGGGGGATAAAACGCTGTGGTAAGATCTCTGTCCACTGTCTGCTGTCATTATTTACTCTGCTTCTGCGGCGTTTGCTTTGCGTCAGTTTTCAAGACTGATTATTCTGGATCCCTGTAGACTATATCTCTCTCGTCTATTTCTTTCTTTTCTCCGTTTGCTCTGGGCAGTACTGTTCCTGCGTCTCCCCGATCGCCTTTCCTTGACTGCGCAACTTACCCCACGGCAACCGACCACCGACCACTGACCGGATACGAACCTCTCACGAACATCCCAACTACATACAACCAGTCCCTGATCGGGAAATATCATGTTGATAGCCCTGTCGACGGCGGAAGAAAGTCTCGTTTTCTGCGCCGGTATATCTGCTGAGTGTTCGAATTGATATTATATACGACTACACCCACTCGTCGAATGACACGATACGTGCTTTAATCTCGACCTGCCGTGACAGGTCGTGTGCGACTTGCGACTCGATCGTTTTATTATTTATTGCTGGATACGTCAACGACTCAGAATATCTGAGACTACGTCTTCATAATGGTGAAAGCGGACGTGAGGAGGGATTATTATGCGGATTTGGGCCTTGGGCCCAGTGCGGAATCGGAGGATGTTAAAAAGCAGTTTAGAAAGCTAGGTGGGATTTTACGTGCTTGAATTTATGTGAATATTGGCTAACTGATGCAGCTCTGAGATATCACCCCGATAGGAATCCCGGGAAAGAAGTCGAATTCATCGCCAAGTTCCAGGCAATCCAAGCGGCACATGAAATCCTCAGTGATCCTCAACACCGATTGAGGTATGATACGGATCGGTTACGCGCTGGATATGGTAGACAGTACGCTGCGCACGCAAGAGCGAATACTTCACGGAGGACCCCTGCCAGTCACAGTTCTGGCGCCTCTGCGAAATCGCAACCATTCTCTGCGCGTGGGCAACAAGCGAACCATGGACCGTCGGCCGGCGCCCAAAGATACTCTAGCTATGCCAAGGCAGCTCCTCAGCAATCATGGGGGAAGAAGGATGATGGACAGACTCGGGCCGACGCTTTTCGCGGATTCCAGGGTATGAAGAACGGTAGCCCGAACGCGACTGGCTGGTCAAGTTTTGACCCCAAAACTGGTCGATCGGGTACAGCCAAAGCCAATGGTGGTGCATCCACCGCCACACCGAGAACCAAGTCGGCCTATGAGTACTTCAAGACATCGGCCAAGCCGACAGAGGGTGCTGGGACGACTCGTGCTCAATCAAGTAGGAGGAAGAACGGGTTTGCACCGGGGACCGCGGGTGGTGATGAGCCGATGGCTGCAAACACTTCCGCCTACGCGAGCACGCCCCGGGATTCGCGACACTCAGGCTACTTTTTCGATCACTCTGTTCCTTCGCCTACCGCCAAGAGAGCGGATGGCCCAGAGGAACGAGCCAGGAATCAGTATGCCGGCGCTAGTGGAGAGAAGACGTTCTTCTCCAGTGCATGGCTCGGACGTGATGGTACTAGTCGTGCTTCGCGGACCAACCCACCCAGCCCGACACCGCCACCATCGGAAGCAAGCAGGCATCGGAGTGTCAGCCCTTCTCATCTGAAGACGAATAGGAACCGGGGTTACGCGCCTTCTACGAGCTCAAGTGATGCCGACGACGACGACACCGACACCGACGACCCATATGAAAGGAACGTACCATCGCCATCGCACAAACCCAAGGCAACCCCAAAGAGCAGAATGCGTCGACCTCATTATCAGAAACCGGCCGACCCGCGGGACTGGAGTTCCGGAACTGGTGAGCAATTCTTTCCCACCCAGACGGTCTTCCGTGGCCCTGGTCCTGGCTACTATCAGTCCTACTACTACCACTACTACCAAAACCATCCTCACAACCATCACCCCTGGGACAACCGCTATGACTATCGGAGACCGAACCCTATTTACGATAACGCGTATCGCTGTACTAACTGGGACTACCTCAAAAGGACATGATTCGGATAGTGCTGCTGCTCCTAGGAATCCATTTGCTGGGACTTTTGCGTCGGCTAACTTTCAGCCTGAGATGGATCCGTACGTTCTTCCCTTTAATTGGTAGTTGTTCACCGTCTTACTGTTTCTATAGGAGCCAATCTAAAAGTAGTAGCCATGGGAACCTGAGACAGGAATTCTCTGCAAAAGACTGGCAAGATGCTTCTCAAGAGGGCTGGTTCGGGTTCTTCATGCCAAAACCATCGGAACCGGATACGACTCGAGCAGCACAAAGCCCCAATACTCGTGGACGGCCAACGACCCGAAACTCAGCTTCATGGGCGCGACAGTCAGCAGGCCCTTCGGATCAGGATCAAAACTCCTCTCGCTCAGGGTCAGCCGCTCAACAGCAACCTACTCCATTTGCCGGAGCCAAGTTCTCAGCAGACGACTGGGTCGAGCAGTTTAAAAATATGTCCTGGGCCGCACCGAAGAACGAAGGGAAACAAACCCAGGCCAATGCTGCTCGTGCAAGGAGCCCCAAGAAACATATGAGGACGGCGGCTTCTAAGACACGGCCGACGCCGCAGCCTGCGAGTGTTGCGACTGAAGCTGAAGAAGCTGAAGCAGCCGCGGAGGATAACCTTGAACAGCAGTCAGGAAAGGTGGATGAGGGGGGTGAAGCTATGGATCTGGATGATGATACCCCTGCCAAGCCGACTACTGCACCACCAGCACCTGCGAACAAGCAGCCATCGAAACCACAAGCATCAGCCAATGTTGGCAAGACCAAGGAACCCGATTCCAAGGATTTCAACCTGAAGGACCTCACAGATGCAGCGCCGTTTATTAGCTCAAAGGGAGGAATCGACGACCTGCAAGATATCAGCGTGACCCTTCCCTTTGAATCGCGCGCCAAAGCCCCAAGGACAACTGCACGCGACGTCCGTCCTCGCGAACTAGCCTGTCCGAATCCGCCCAAGCGACCACGCCGTCCAGCCCTGAGCTCGCTCGGTATCGGAACTCAACTGGTGCTCCCTCGCCCAGCATGGGAACGATACGAGGCCGAAATGATGGCGTACATGCGCGAATGGAACGAATTTAACCGCCGGATGCTACGCCATTTCAATGCTCGCCAGGAAGCCAATGAAACTGGTCTGGCGCCTGGATGGATCAGTGCAGTTGGCGACTCGTCCCGACTCAACATCAACCAAGATGACTCGGATGCTGAAGATAACAACGACCCTGATAACGAGGATGGCGTTGACGATCTGCTACCGGGAAGCGCCAAGGGAGGATACACTGCGTATCTGCGCGCGATCGAAGAAGACGTTAAGGTCCGGAAGCATTGGGATGTGGCTTGTGAATTGCACCGGGAGTGTATATTTGAGTTGGGGGAGTTGCGCGAGTGGATTTTGAGTGGGGGGAAGTTGGTGTGAGGGTTTATTATTATTCTTATTGGTATTGTTAAAAGTGTTGGGGTTTTGGTCTGGTTGTTGCATTTGCATACGTTTGGGATTGGCATTGGCTGGCGTTGGTTATGTCTGGTCTGGGTGGTTGTGTTGAGTGGTGTATTATGAATACCCATAAGTATAATAGAATTATTCTATTTCTCTTTCCATCTACTCTGTACAGTTCTTGAAATGAAGTCTATCAGGCGATGAAGCCCTAACCTAACCCTACCCGTTTCCGACACCGGTATATCATTCTGCCCCAGGCAGTGATATCCCGAAAACGGCAGGCCCCACGCACGAACCCCGCTGTGACAATATCTATACCGTAATATTTCCCTCTTTCCGTGGTCCGACCTCACCGCAACGTAAAATACAGTAAGATAGTTACACCATCCGTGCCCGGGCTGAGTCATCGGGCCAGCGGGGCAGACAATATAACCACATCTTCCTCCGCAAAGAACAACCGATCGCGGGTTTCTTTTGCCTTTGGTTGATTTGACGGTTGCGAGGTTTCGCTGCCGCTCCGTACCTTTTGAGGTTTTCTTTTTTTTTTTTTTTTTTCCCTTCTGAATTAATTGAATTGAATTGAAGTGATTGTGTCTATCTGGAATCATGGGGATTACGATTGTTCTTGGTTCGCAATGGGGTGATGAAGGTGAGTGATCTATATGGGGGATTGACTCGATGAGTCTTGTACGGGAAGTAAAGGAATGATGCTGACGATATACAGGGAAGGGGAAGATTACAGACATGCTGTCGCAGGAGGCTACTCTCTGCGCTCGTGCCGCTGGTGGTCACAGTAAGTTCATACCCTACACCTGAAGAGGACGTCCAAGGCCGGTGTTGACCTTAATTTTCCTGAACAGACGCCGGCCACACCATCGTCCACGAAAACATCACCTACGACTTCCACATCCTCCCCTCCGGCCTTGTCTCCCCCAAGTGCGTCAACCTGATCGGCGCCGGCACCGTTGTGCACGTCCCCAGCTTCTTCAAGGAACTGGCCGCCCTGGAGGAGAAGGGTCTGACCTCCGCCGGCAAGCGCATCTTCATCTCCG